GATTAAAAACGGGAACTGAATTGACTGCGTACGTATGTTAATTTGTATTCTATCTGTTTGATTGATTATTTGATCTGTTCACGTTTTATGTTTAAACTGCTAATTGATGGCCTTATCGGCAGCCGAACCGGGAATTGATTGATGTTTTATGATCATCATAATTAATGTGATTTTACGGTGTAATTATCTGAAAACTGATTAGGTATAATTAAATTAGATTAAATATTGACCAATCGCAGAGTTTGACTCATTTACAACCTTGCCCTTGAGTAGGCCACTACCTATACACCTTTGAGCTACGCCACACTTGAATCAAAACATTTCCTCAGCCTTGTTTGAGCTCTTGCCGACCTTAGAGAGTGAGGAAGGGAGAGTAGTGAATTCAACATAAAGATTTGGCTTGAATCTTGACGAATTGAAAGCTTAAGTGCAAAATTGAACCTCTAGACTTGCATTCAAGGAACCTAGGTATGAATTTCGTCTTTTCGATTTTGTCTTTAAGTTGATTCATGCATGGTTCATGTCTAATTGTAGAGCTAAGTCTTGAATTGGTTCATTAATGGTGAATTGAAGCTCATTTCATGCATGCATGTTTGAATTGTTGAGTTGTGAGTTGATTTCATGGTAAAATGGTACATGCATGTCCATAACTTTGTAATGGTCCATGTTTTCAACTTATTTTTGGATTAATCGGCTCCTTTAGAGCATCAAATTGAACTTTGAAGTTGTTTAAAATTCATGCATGTTTGCATGTTCATATTGTTTTTGATATTGATTTGAAATTGAGTTTGAATTAAACACCCTTGGGCTTTGATTTCTCAAATTGAGCTTTGAACCATGTTATTCTATGTGTTTATAGAGGTTTTCCAGAAAAATGGGCCCAAGGGGATTGGTTTTGATGCATTTGAACCTAGTTTTGGCTTGGAGGTGCAATCTGGAATTCCCAGATTTTGCACTTCCGCTCGAGCGGGGAAATTGGCGCTCGAGCGTGGAATCCGAGCATCCAGTATTTCTCTGCACTGTTTTACAGTCCGCTCGAGCGGAGGATTGGGCGCTCGAGCAGAGGCATGTGTCTCACGATCGAACGGGCGTCGAGCGCCCGTCGAGCGGAGATTTCACCCATCCAGTACTTTTACAGTACGCTCGAGCGGGAAAGTTGACGCTCGAGCGTGTACCTTTGTTGCATGACCGCTCGAGTAGGGAAACCTGTGCTCGAGCGGGACTCTATCTTTCTAAAAATTTTGAAACTGTTTTCTGATCACATCTTTGCATCCTCATCTCATCCTAGGCATTCTTAGGCCTAGTTTAAGGCATCTTACTGAGGATATAGATGTAGAACACACCGAGGCATTAGGGGTTAAGTTACTATCTTTCCCAACTGTGTAGCTTAGTGTGTTCAATCTGTTAACTGTGTAGGGTTGGCGACTGGGGAGGCACGCTCTAGCATACTGTAGCCCAGAACTCTGTGAGTAACGATTGTGTAAAGATATGTTCACAAATGATTATCTTCTGAACAACTGAACTGTACTGTTTTCTGAACTGATTACTGTTAACTGAATGAATGTATGTCCTATATTCTGAACTGTATTGTGGCATCCTTAGCACCTACTGTTTACTGTTACTGTGACAGAATTCTCTGTTGGTTCCCTCGTTGGAACCACTACTGTTTACTGACTGATGGCCATCATTACTGTTCGGTCTTTTAAGACCTACTGCTTACTGTACTGTTATGCTACTAGGTGTACCACATATGACTGTACTGACTGAACAACTGAAATACTGTTTAATTGAACTGTTTTCATACTGTAAGGACATTCATTCTTAACCTCTTTACGCATTATGTTATTCACTGGGCTTTAGCTCACTGCTCATATATATATGTAGGTGTACAGGCACCAGACCACGGCTAGGAGCGTCAGGGTTACTCCAGTTTTGTCAAGCCAACCTATCTGCCTCACTGCGAGGTTCCGAGCCTATCGTGTTAAGGCTTAGGGGTGTTTTACAATTCCCCCTTCTGTACTATCTTACTGTTTTGTATAGACCGAATGCTTACTGTACTGTGATGTAGAGGGTTGAGTCCCTAGTCTGAATGATTGTAAATATTGTGCATACTGTTCTGTACTGTTTACGTATAAATGTATGAAAAGTCTTTTTGCATACAGACTGTCACAGCTCATTGGACACTGTTTGTTTACTGTATTGGCTTCCACCAGGCCCTGTACTCTGTTTTACTGTACTACTGTTCTGCAGGCCTTCGGTAATCTCGGATTACTGGCCGGTTACGGTGCTAAATCCATAGGGCCGGGTTTGGGTCGTGACAACCGGTGAATGACTTCTTATACAAAGCGCCAGATATAGAGAGCCAAAACCACTCAGACTTCACCCGAATTTTGTATGCTTCCTTTTTGTCGATCAGTAGGATCCGTTCTTTAAGAAAAATGATGATGAGGTCCATCCAGGAAGGACCATGCTCGGTGCAGAATACTTTCGTCTGCTTTGAGTCTTTAATGCTGGGTCTTGGGAGGAACTCAATCAGGAGAGGGCTGGGAGTTGATTTGTTGACCATGGAAGCTAGGCCGACCAACTTATCTGCTCGGCCATTATCTTCACAACTAATTTGTTGGACTCTTATCGCTTGGAATTTCTTGATGTGTTCTCTCACTAAGGCTTGGTATTTGGCCATTCTGTCATCCTTGGCTTCATACTCTCCAGACACTTGGTTTACAACGAGTTGGGAGTCACTGTAGACCATCAGCTTTGATGCGTGCAATTGGAGCGCGCTTTTTAGCCCGACTAGCAGTGTTTCGTATTCGGCCTCGTTGTTTGATGCTGGAAACCCGAGCGCGATGGAATGTTCAATAGTTAGTCCATCCGGAGAGATCAAGACTATTCTCAGCCTAGCTCCATGTCTCTTTGACGCACCATCTACAAATAGTTTCCACATTTCGTCGATGAAGAGCTTTCAACATTTCTGCAGGGTCTTGTGACATTTCAAGATTCAAGTGGTCAAAATTGCTCAATTGCTCGGCTACTTCTGCAACAAGCAAGCCTTCATCCCCCCCTTGGCAATGCGGGATTAGGTCCAATAGGTTGACCTGTTATTTCCAAATCCAACGTCTCATTGCCAAGCCGAAGTAAATCTTCAAGTGGTGGGTTTGTAGACGGGCGCGCAACTTCCGCGTTGCCATTATTAGTCGGTTGTGCAATTTCTGCAGTGCTTACCCCCTTCAGCCCGGCTGCCTCGGTAAGATCCATCGGGCATACTGGGTGAATTCCAGGCGAAAATTCGGCAACAAAGTCGACCAATGCTTGGGCTTTGATGGCGGTTCAGGGTTGGAACTTGACGTCAAATTGCCCCAATTCAATTGCTACTTCAGAATTCGGCCGGAAAAATCCACCCGCTCAAATATGGCTTTCAAAGGGAATTCGGTCAACACCACGATTGTGTGAGCATGAATGCAGTGCGCCAATTTCCTGGAGGCCATCATTAGTGCCAAAGCAAGTTTTTCCAGTGTCAACTATCTCGACTCTGCTGGTAGCAAGGTTTTACTCACGTAGAAGATTGGGAGATGCTGGATTCCTTCTGCCCAAACGAGTACCGCGCTGACAGCATGTTGAGAAATAACCAGATAAAGGTAAAGGTCCTTGCCATGCTTCGGCGTGACCAACAGTGGGGCGGAAGATAGATACATCTTCAGCTCGGCCAAGGCTCTGTCACAGTCTTTGTCCCAAGAAAACTTGGACCTCAAGGCTTGGAAGAAAGGGCGGCAACGATCTGATGATCGGCTTATAAATCGGTTAAGCGCGACTGCCATATCAGCAAGATATTGCATGTTTGCCGAGTTGGGCTGTTTCAATTCCTGTATGGCTTTGATTTGGGTGGGGTCTGCCTTAATGCCGCGGTTGGTGACCAGAAAACCCAAGAATTTCTCGGATCCCACATTGAAGGCACATTTTGACGCATTCAAGCGTAACTTGTGCTATTTAAGAATGGCGAACATCTCTGCTAGGTCAGCCAAGTGGTCGGCCTCATGCTTGCTTTTGACCACCATGTCATCGATGTAAGTCTCCATCGTGCAACCGAGTAGTGGGGCGAACATTTTGGTCACCAGTCTCTGGAAAGTCGCCCCGGCATTTTTCAAGCCGAAAGGCATGACTCTATAGCAGAACAATCCCCTAGGTGTTATAAAAGAGATAATCTCTCGGTCAAGCTCATGCATGGCGATCTGGTGATAACCACGATATACATCTAAGAAGCTAACTCGGTTGTGTCCGGCCGTCAGGTCCACCAGTTGGTCAATTCTAGGCAAGGAAAAACTGTCCTTGGGGCAAGCTCGGTTGACCGTTTTATAGTCGACGTAAACACGCCATTTCTCATTCTTCTTTGGTACCACGACCATGTTGGAAACCCACCGAGGGTAGTGCACTTCCTGTATTGCCTTTGCTTCAAGCAAGTTTTTGACCTCCTCAGCCACTACCTCGACGTGATGAAGCGCCGATCTCTGCGTTCTTTGAATGATTGGCCGGGCATTCGGAAAAACATTGATTTGGTGGCAAATAAAGTTGGAATCGATGCCAGGCATGTCATAAGGCGTCCATGCAAACACTTCGATATTTGCCACCAAAAACTCCACCATCTTCATCCGTTCTTGTGCGGTCAAGCTGGATCCCAGCAAGAAGGACTTGTTTGGATTGTCTTCGTTGATTCGCACCACCACCAAATCTTCAATGGCCTTTTCTTCGGCCCTAGTGACCACATCATCCAAGACACTTTGATCTTCCGGGCCTTCGACCATTTGCACGAAGTCTTTGGCTGCTCGGCTCCCATTTATTGCCACGAAACACTGCTTAGCCATGACCTGATCACCCCAAATCTCTTCAATCAACCCCGTAGTAGAGGAAAACCTCATAACTTGGTGGTAGGTCGACGCCACAGCATGTATGGCATGGAGCCATCCCCTACCTAGGATCAGATTGTATGTGAAAGACACCTTCAACACTTAGAATTCCACCTGCTTGACCACGAGTCTGGCTTTGACCGGTAGGATTATCTTTCCCATAGGCCACTTCGGTTGTGAGTCGAAACCAACTAGTGGCGAAGTTGCCGGAGCCAAATCTGTGTCCCTGAGTTTGAGTTGCTTGAAGGCGTCGTAGTACATGATCTCGACCGAGCTACCTTGATCAATCAAAATGTGCTTAACATCAAAGTCCCTGATGCGGAGAGTGACCACCAGTGCGTCATTGTGCGGCGTTTGAATGTGCTCAAGATCCCTGCTTGAGAAGCTGAGCACATTTTTTTCCTCAGTCTTGCCCCTTTTGACCGCGGGCTGGACTGACAGGACTTCCCTCGTATGTTCTGCTTTTTTTATCATCCCATGGAGCTCGCATACCCGCGTCGACTCAATGATACCATGGATCACATTGACCACTCCTTGGAGGGGTGCTTCTAGGGTAGCCAAACCACTTGGCTCAGTTGCAGCATGGTGCGCGGCTTTGCTGCCCCCATCAATGTAACGGTCCAAGTGTCCAGCAGCAACCAGCTTTTCCAAGTGTTGTTTCAGGGATAAATAGTCCTCCGTTCGATGCCCTCGCTCACTATAAAAGGTGCAGCGATACCGCGGATTGAAGTTTTTTTGCGCATCACCCAACTTGGTCGAAAACCGGACGTACACCTCATTGTGGATTTCGCTTAGTATTCGGTAAATTGGGATTTTAAAAACCGTGGTGACGCCTGTTCGAGCGTTCAACTTTATATTCGCATCTGTCGAGGCATCGCGTGGATAATCAACTCGGTTATTGTGGCAACCTTTACCCCGACTTCTACGATCCGGACCATGGTCTAATTGTCTTACGCAGTCACTTGGACGGTTTGTCTCCTGTCCAACCGTGTGGACTATTCTAAACACCCTTTTGTCCGTTGCCACCAGATTCGTCTTCACTGTGGCTACGGTCGCATCATCCTCTACTTGGATGTGTTCGTTGATGCGCTGCATCAACAGCTCCATGGAAATTGGTTGGTTCATCGTGAACAAGTCTCTCAGTCTATGTCCGACCGGAGACCGCGCTTGTATTGGGTGATTGTCAGGTTGGTCAAGCAATCAAGGATCTCATTGAAAGTTTTCCCAATATTTGGCGTTATATGCTTTGAAGGAATCGCCCGGCTCCATCTTGATACTCAGAAGGTGATCAACCTCCTTTGGCATTTTGGTGTTGGTTTTGAATCTGCCACCTTTCGATGTTTTCCTCTGGTAGCCTCTCAAACCACTTCAAGCCCAACTTGCCCAAACTTGACGGGAAAATAAGGCACATGAGAGCATCGTTACGCTTATATCCAGCCATAACCTGCTGAAAGTGGCTTACGTGCATGTACGGATCGGTTTTTCCGTCATAGAGCATGAACTTAGGCTTGTGAAAGCCCGCGGGGAGCGGTGTAGTCTCTATCTCAAGGGAGAAGGGGGTGGCGCTCAGCCTTGCCAAATCCTTGTCCAAAGAGACATGTACAACTGGACGGGGTGGCGGCATTATGACTACTTCACTGGCACAACCTCTGTAGGATAACCGTTGCAGCGCCGGCACCCTTTGCTCCTCCCGTCTGCGCGCTTACTCTTCCAAGACGTCTATCAAGTCCTCCGAACGAGCAGAGTAGGAATATCTCGACGTCGTCGACAGATGAGAGGGATGGTAACTGCTATCTTGCGCAAAAGACTTCTCTGCTGGCGGTCAAGGTCTTCAACCCCATAACTTTTGGTGATGGAGAGTGAGGGCGTATGCCACTGGTTCTGGCTGCCTGAGCGGCTGAATCAAGTGCGCTCACTGTGGTCAACCACTCCAACAGTACCCTTCCTTTTGACTTGCCGCTTAAGAGCTTCTATCTCTTCCGACATTCTCCGGATGACGGCATCTTGGTCCCTCAACTTGTGCTCCAGGCATTGAGCGTGCGACTCTTTTCATCACTAATGCCCGTCTAGACTCCGTGAGTGATCAGTGCTCCTGGTGCGCTTATCTCGCGCATCTTTGGGGAGTCCTCTTGGTGAGGTCTCCAGGCCCACCATGTTTGGAACGACGGGAAGTCTGTCACTCCGCCGAACTAACTCTGGGGTAATACCGTCGATGGCAGACAATGGTACTTCGTCGTTGTTCACCATGAAAGATGATCAGATGAGCTTGGAGGACAAGGTTATGTATGTGGAGTTTCCCACAGACGGCACCAATTATACGAGGTGCAAATATCCGTCGATGTCCGTACTCCTTGTGTCCAAGCTGCGCTTTGCTCTAATTGACCTGAGAACACAATAATGGTGAGCTACCCGGCGGTGTACTAGCGGAAAACCCTCTGACGACCAAGTTAGCACACTGGAAGAGAGAGAAAAGAGAGGAGACCAAGTGGTAGGTGAGTTGTGATCATAAGATGTTCCAAACCTGATTATGGGGCGCGTAGCACCGTTTATATACCTTTTGCGCGCGCCTCTGCGTCCGTTCACCTTTGGACGCGTGTATCTGCTCTCCTCTTCCATTTTTCCACATGTCAGCGCAACTACAGCTAAACACCACCTAACAAAACCGCCAAACGGTGTTGGCCCGAACAGACAGCACAGCGTGGCTCTATCATTCCACGACCGTGTTACTTTTGAGATATGCAATGCTCTAAACCGAGCTACGCCTAGCACGGCGCCACATTGTCTCACCACAACTGTGCTAATTGTCCGGTTTCATTAAAGAATCCCACTACGGCTTAGCCGTCCTCGGTTATGACCTAGCTCCTACTCAATTGGACTGATCTGTTGAAGATTTAAAACGTCTAATTCAACAAGCAAATAAAGTGAACCGGGCTTGCAATCCGATATTACCCCGGCTAAATCGGACTAGGGCCTTGACCGAGCGCACTGCCACTTGCTCGGCCCAACCCAGCTCGACCCAAACTTGCTTGGCCCAATTTAGCTCGGTCATTACCTCGGCCCAATGCTAATTTATGAAATCTCCCTCTCATCAGGAATTTAAATCAATAACACCCTTTTAATTACGAAGGAATTTAAATATTAACCAAACTAATTTAATTCATCAATTTAGTAAGTCCATCATGTTCACCATCTCCCAAATTAATAACACCAAAATAACTTCACATGCCTCATCACTCAAATACACCCACATTTCATGCCTAGCCAATTTTCCCAAATCTCTACAAACAACAATTTCTCAAATTTTCTAAAATCAATAAATCAACATTCACAAAACATTATGAATATAACACTTTTAGAGTCTTTAATTCCAAAATCACCCTATAATTCCAACTTCACAATTTATACAATATTCATCAATATCAATTTATTCTTCTCAAAATAAATTCTAAAAAATCAAAGAAGAAAATATTTCAACTTTATATTTCTCAAAATAAATTTTCTAATCATAAGATGATGTAGATACAACCCATACAACTATAAAAATTTATTTTTTAGATTTTTAGCAAAAATTTATCAACAAAAGGTGATTTTCTCAAATCAATCTCAAAATATCAATATTCTTAACATTTCAACATCATTTTTCTTCCAAAAATTTCCAAACAAAAATCTGAGAAATATATACATGAAACACCTCCTATAATGATATATTTTTTCAAAATAACCCTAACATAACTTTAAAGTAGTAATATGAAAAAAGTTTCTACCTCATAATATGAAGAAAAGCAATCTGAAAAGCAAACTACGCCCGATCAAGAATCTGAGACTACCATTGCAAACACCACGACGAGCTCTCCGACTTTTATTTACAATACTTTTGCAAAATCTCACTCTAAGGATTCCCATTTGAAACCCAAAGATTGAGCAACAATGGAGAAAAGAGAGAGAAACACAAACACACATTGAGAAAGAGAGTGAGAGAAAGAGAGCCAAGCTCTCTGCCAAGCCAACAAAAGAAATGAAATGAAATGGAAGAGGAAAAGATGGCAAGGGCAAAAAAGGAAGGCCACTCGGAAGCAGGGATACTGCTGTGCCTATGGCACAGTAGTAATTGCTGTGCTCTTTGTAGAAGATCATCCTGAGTATTTTTCGATGATCTGAATCGCTTATATTGTAAGATTCGTCGAGAATATTATTCATGTAAAAAATCAAATTAATCGAATATTCATAACCTCATGATTAGGTCCTAATTGTTTTTAAAAATTTATGAAAGTTATGTTAATTGTTAATTTTTATAAAACCAAGTGTGCTTTAGTTACAGGGCTACAGATATCCAATCAACTTGATTTTTTGTAAGGATGATCTACTCGATGTGAACCCTACAATATGAACATTTCAGATCATCGAAAAACACTAGGGACGGCATCCCACAAAGAGCACACCAGTTACTGTTGTGCCATAAGCACAGTAATATCCCCGCTTCCGGGCAACCCACGTGGGTTGTCTTCCCAAAAATTGGTTTTCCAAAAAAAATAATTTTTATAATAATATTTCAAAATTTTATAATATAAATTATAAAATGATATAATTTTTCTCATTACAAAATATAATATTTTGCTCACTACAAAATATATCCATTTTATTCACTATAAAAATATAAAAAATTTCATCGTATGGTGCACATCGTAAAATCAACTATCAACTATTTATTATAATCCTATATAATAAATAATAACAATTTTCAAGGTAGTTACTACCAATCATCTAATTAAAAATGACCAAACAATTAAACATATGTCATTAAACAAACTCAATTTAAATTAAATCTAAGTCATGGGTCTCACCCATAAGTCAAACATGGTCGAATTATATACCATAATAGACCCAACAATTTATCTCAAATCATGGTCCAAACACCCAAAATTCAAATTTCAAATTCTACTATAAATAAAACTAAACACCAATTAGTCTGCATATTCTCATAAAATAAATACTCACCATTAAATTTCAAAAATTTTATCCAACATGCTAGACTCTTATAAGAACAACATAATAAAAAATTTCATAATTTCTAAGATAAAAAATTATTATTATTTTTTTTAAAAAAAAATTATTACAAAATTGAACCATTTTCGCATATAACTTTATACAACACTCCAATCCAAATATTACTCAATTAATCTATGCATTGAATATTTAAAAAAAATATTTTGGGTCATTACAATTGATATTTAACAATTTACTTGATAATCTTTTAGTTGAGTTGGATATCCAAAAAAAAATGTTAACAAGCTGTTGTATTAAGTTCAAAATTTGTAAAAGCTTAAACTGCCAAACCGATTCGCATCCATTCGTCAATCTATCAATCGACATCCGTCAAACTGAAGGACAGATGCAAATTGTTTCTTTCAATCCTCCAATCCGGAGGACGGATGGCAGATTGGAGGTTCTCCGGCCGCAACCGAACCATGAACACCCCTAATTTTTGGTAAAGTTGATTAACACAAATCATGATTTGATTTCAGGTTGAGAATACACTTTTTTTTATTTTATTTTCTTTTCTTTTTTTAATAATTTTGAAAGAAATTATTTTTATGAGCCTTTTATATAGGATCACATACACAGTAACGAAAATTTTCATCAACCACTAGCAAATTTATTTGTATTTGACTTTCAATTATTAAAATTTTCTACATGTAAAGGATTAACACTCAAAATCAATTTTTCATTTAAAAAACAATTTTTCATGCATCGCACCGGATACCTACTAGTATATAAATAAATCTCATTTAGGTAGATTATCGAAGAACCAATAAATTGTAGGGTTAATTACTCAAAAATCCTATTTGTAAAGTTTCTATTCCATTAAATCCTATTTCATCATTTTTAATCAATAAGATCACATGTTCAAAATATTTATGCATATATGACTGCTTTACCCCTTAATAAAAGACAGAAATAGTTGAGAAAAGTCAATTCAATAAATGCTAATAAAAAAATATTAAGCATTCCAAATACACTACATAATAATATTATTTACCAATCACCAAGTATTATGTTTCATGTCCCATCATAAAATTGTAAGTCCTACTTGATCGTGCCGCAAAAGCAATAGATATTACTCATAA